CAAATTCATGCTTATATGTTTATACTTCTAACATGGGATACAGTGTGCCATAAAGAGTAATGCCAAATTCCACCCACTGCGATGTGTGATGACTGGTATACAACACTTGTTTTCCAAGCAGTGTAAATTACAATACTACATGTCGTGCATATATATGCAATATTATTTTTCAATATATTGATATAAGATCTAAAGTTTTATAGTGAAATCATATGTACAATATACACATGTGTACAAGTTTAAGTACGATAGTATTAAAATCATGAACACAAATCATTGAGAGTTCCATACTTTTCTTGAAAGGTAAAAAAGCAAAACTTTAACCAGCAATGAAATTTCTCACCTGGAACGCAATTTTGTGGATCTGGATCAGAAGAGTTGAACATGTATCCCTCATCACACACACAGACCAGAGGTTCTGGACAAGGTAAACTTTGACCTTCTTCATTGGTAGTATTCTGGCAGTTTGACACTGTACTGTTATCCACTATCTCACAGCATCTGGTATTATTACCACACACAACTGGGGGCCTCACTTCAAGTTATGAAACAGAAGTCAAGACTTGTCAACACAAGGAAATGAATTTATATAATTTAATTTTGGAACATTATGTCTTGACCATTGCATTTCTGTGTGTATCCTTCTAACATGAGGTACAGTGTGTCATATAAAACACTGCCAAATTATACCCACTTTGACAAGGGCGATGGTCATCTGACATCATTTTAAAACCAGTGTCATTTACAAAGCTACATGTCATGCGTACTCAAACAATGATAAAAATTTTTCTTCTACACATTGTTATAAGATCTTTAGATTAATAATAAAGTCATCTGCACAATACATACATGTTGACAACTTTAAATATGGTAGTATTGAAATCACAAACACAAAGCATAAAAAGTGTCTCACTCTTATTGAAAAGGTAAAAAAAAAGCAAAACTTTAACCAGCAAAGTGAGTTCTCACCTGGAACGCAATTTTGTGGATCTGGATCAGAAGAGTTGAACATGTATCCCTCATCACACACACAGACCAGAGGTTCTGGACAAGGTAAACTTTGACCTTCTTCATTGGTAGTATTCTGACAGTTTGACACTGTACTGTTATCCACTACATCACAACATCTGGTATTATTACCACACACAACTGGGGGCCTCACTTCAATTTATGAAAAAGAAGTCAAAACTCATGAATAATTTTAGAACATCATTTTAGAACTCATTAATTTTAGGACATTGTGGCAAATTCATGCTCTTATGTTCATACTTCTAACATGGGATACAGTGTGCCATAAAGAGTAATGCCAAATTCCACCCACTGCGATGTGTGATGACTGGTATACAACACTTGTTTTCCAACCAGTGTAAATTACAATGCTACATGTCACACACACACACACACACACACATATATGCCATGTTTAAAAACATTATTTCTCCATATATTGATAAAAGATCTAAAGTTAAATAGTAAAGTCATATGTACAATATACACATGTGTACAAGTTTAAGTACGATAGTATTAAAATCATGAACACAAATCATTGAGAGTGCCTTACTCTTCCTTGGAAAGGAAAAAAAAGCAGAACTTTAACCAGCAATGGAACTTCTCACCTGGAACGCAATTTTGTGGATCTGGATCAGAAGAGTTGGACATGTATCCCTCTTCACACACACAGACCCGAGGTTCTGGACAAGGTAAACTTTGACCTTCTTCATTGGTAGTATTCTGACAGTTTGAAACTGTACTGTTATCCACTATCTCACAGCATCTGGTATTATTACCACACACAACTGGGGGCCTCACTTTAATTTATGAAACAGAAGTCAAACCTTGTCAACACAAGGAAATGAATTTATATAGATTTAATTTTGGAACATTATGTCTTGATCATTGCATTTCTGTGTGTATCCTTCTAACATGAGGTACAGTGTGTCATATAAAACACTGCCAAATTATACCCACTTTGACAAGGGCGATGGTCATCTGACATTTTCCAACTAGTGTAAATTACAAAGCTACATGTCACGCGTACTCAAACAATGATAAAAATTTTTCTTCTACACATTGTTATAAGATCTTTAGATTAATAATGAAGTCATCTGCACAATACATACATGTTGACAACTTTAAATATGGTAGTATTGAAATCACAAACACAAAGCATAAAGAGTGTCTCACTCTTATTGAAAAGGTAAAAAAGCAGAACTTTAACCAGCAATGAAAGTTCTCACCTGGAACGCAATTTTGTGGATCTGGATCAGAAGAGTTGAACATGTATCCCTCTTCACACACACAGACCAGAGGTTCTTGACAAGGTAAACTTTGACCTTCTGCATTGGTAGTATTCTGGCAGTTTGACACTGTATTGTTATCCACTACCTCACAGCATCTGGTATTATTACCACACACAACTGGGGGCCTCACTTCAATTTATGAAACAAAAGACAAAGCTCATGAATAATTTTAGAACATTATTTTTGAACTCATTAATTTTAGGACACTGTGGCAAATTCATGCTTATACGCTCGTATGTTTATACTTCTAACATGGGATACAGTGTGCCATAAACAGCATTGCCAAATTCCACGCACTGCAATGTGTGACGACTGGTATACAACACCTGTTTTCCAAGCAGTGTAAATGACAAAGCTACATGTCACACACACACACATATATATATATATATATATATATATATATATATATATATATATATATATATATATATATATGTCAAAGGCCCGGATCAAATCTAGTCCCATGCATAAAGAGCCCAGACTCCATGTTTATTACACCCTGGCTGGGCCCATTATTTTTGGTGTCTTTGCATTGTTAACTGCATAATGGGCAAGTTAAATGACCAAGTTAATTGACCAAATTAATTGGCCAAGCTGCCAGTTTGTTTGTATGGCATGTGCAGTTGTCTTAGATCAAGGCACAAATGAAGCCCACCTTTAATTTAACATTTCTTTAGTGTTTAGCTTTTTATGCATTCCAACCACTGCGGCAAGTGACAACTGGTATATACGACACCCATCTTTCAAACAGTGTAAATTACAATGCTACATGTCACTTATTTACCAGCCATGATTAAAAATATTATTTCTCCAAATTTTGCTAGAAGATATAAAGTTTAATATTGAAGTCATCTTCACAAAATATACATTTTATAAGTTTAAATATGGTGGTATAGATATAACAAACACAAATCGTATAGAGTGCCTTACTCTTCCTTGAAAAGGTAAAAACATGCAGTCCTTTAACCAACAATGAGAGTTCTCACCTGGAACGCAATTTTGTGGATCTGGATCAGAAGAGTTGAACATGTATCCCTCATCACACACACAGACCAGAGGTTCTGGACAAGGTAAACTTTGACCTTCTTCATTGGTAGTATTCTGACAATTTGACACTGTATTGNACTGTTTGACAGGAGATTCAAATGGGGTTGTTTGCATGTCTAGGCGGTAATTCATGTGGTGAGTATATTCCTTTTCTCTTTACCAGTAAATAAAGTATAAAACGTGGTCATATATTGCAGAAAAAATATTCAGTAATGCTTTTTCAGTCGTTTATTTATTTGCTTGAATGATAAATAAATCGATAAATCGTCCGTGACTTTCTAAAGCCACAGTTCTCTCTAATTATCCGGTTATTAAATTGAAACACTCGATTTACACACTGTTAAATCGAAACACTTGTTCGATAACTTGTTTTAAGAAAAAAGAATCTGACCTTTCAGACGCAGATTCTACGGCGTACCCTATGAGAAAGAAGTTGGTGATTGTTGGGGATGGGGCCTGCGGTAAATCCTGCCTGCTCAACGTGTTTACACAGGACGACTTTACCCTCAGCTATATTCCCACCGTCTTTGAGAACTACGTAACAGACATAGAAGTGGATGGAAAACAGGTGCGTCTCTTTTGTAGTATTTTTTTAGAATTAAATTGAAAACTTGAGAGTTAAAATTGTCTTTTGTAAAATATAGCGTTCATTTGATTTTAGGTCGGTCGGTCGGTCTCTCTCTCTCTCATATATATCTCTACTATTTTTAAGTTGCATTAATTTTTGTTATTTAAGATTGAGTCTCTCTCTCTCTCTCTCATATGTCCCTACTGTTTTTAATCAGAATTAATTTTGTTATTTTAGATCGAGTTGGCACTTTGGGATACTGCCGGGCAGGAAGATTACGACCGCTTACGGCCCTTATCTTATCCCGATACTGACGTCATCCTGATGTGTTACTCCATCGACAGTCCCGACAGCCTGGCCAACATCGCCGAAAAATGGGCCCCGGAGATCAACCATTTTTGTCCCAATGTTCCTGTAGTTCTAGTGGCAAATAAAAAGGACTTGAAAAAAGATGAAGAGATCATTACTGAACTGGCAAAACTGAACGAAAAACCGGTGGATTACATGGCTGGGGAAGACACTGCGGCAAAAATTGGTGCTTTTTCTTTTCTTGAGTGTTCGGCGAAAACGCGAGAGGGCGTTAGGGACGTATTTGAGACTGCCACGAGAGCGACGTTATTGAAAAGGAAACGCCGTAAGATCCATCGCAGATGTTAATTTTTTTTCACTCTGTTCTAAAGAAATTTGTCATGAGTGATGCTGGGCAAAGAGAAGCAAAGTAAAGACAATCATGGTATTAAAAAATAAATATATTTCAAGTAATGCTGCAATACCTTCTGCTATACATGTACAATTAGGCTATATGTGGCATCAGTCGTTTTTTTTTTTTTTTTTTTCTTTTTTTTTTGTAATTATACACATAAAGTGTCCTTCATAATAAATATTTGTTGTTAACCAACCGTTAAGTTTTGACATTCGATAACTTTCAGGTATTTTTTGGATGAATTACAATCGCGATTTTTCTTAACGATATTTAAGGCATATAAATGGTGTTTCCAGACCCTCGTCATCTGTGAAGAATATGACTCTTAAACTATAAAATTGATACTATTATCGAGGTCTTGGCAGTAAATGTGCAAGCCCGCATCTCTCTTTTTACTATAATCACAACGATACAGCATAGCCCAGTGGCGACCCTCTCTCCCACCGCTCTCTCCCACCGCTCTCTCCCACTTTCATTCCATCATAGTAAACGGCAGCAACAAAGAATAACAATATAATGTCTAGCAACAGGCTTGCATTCAGCAACCAGGGTTCTTTTTGTCGAAAACTGAACCTTTCCTTCCCCTCAGTTGACCCAGCTTGAGATAAGACATAGAATTTAAATCAAGTATTGATTCAGAGGGGACATTTTCTTGCCAAAAAGACGGTTTTTAACCCCACCCCACCTACATGTAGCCCTGCCTACGGACGTTGTTTACAACTTTTTTATAATATAAACAAGATAAGTGATTTATCGGTCACGGAGTAAATGGCTTGACCAAAGTTTTTAGAGTCACCTAAATGATCACTTGTGGGAGTAATTGTCATCTGAACTAACAATTTAAACTTAACTATACCAAATTAAAGCTAGATAAAATCAAGGAGTTAGTCTGTTGTAACTCCTTGATAAAATCAAGCAACTCTTTTCATCGCTACCTTACAGTAACACTGATGTGTCATAGACCATAGAAATTTAATGATATATTTTATAGTTGTTGGGGAAAAACACTCTCCTTGAAAGAAAATAGAAAGAAAGTAGATAAAAAAGTCGTCAGTCAGTGAACTGTGGGGTTTCATCATAGTCCTTCACTCTTCAAGGTTCGTTACACAACTGATGTGTATTTTCCCTGTCCTGGTGAAAATAAAGGATGGAAAATGGGAAGCCCCACTTTCTGAAATGCCAATAATATTGATAAGATTAATAATAAGCATTATTATTATTACTATTATTATATCTATTATAATAAAAATATACATAAAAGAAAGAATGAACACGTAAATAAACCAATTCAAACAGTTGTCTTTATATTTATTTTCTATTGCAATGTGCAAAATGAGAAACAATACCACACCAGAAAAAGTACATCAATATCATTTCGTAAAATTAACCGCGGTTAATAATAGATTTTAAAAGAATGCATAAATTAATATTTAAGTATTAAATATTAGATTAACATTATAACAAAAAGTGTAGTGTAATATTAAATTTAAAAAAGCTAATTTTAAGTTAAAACGTAGATAAAAATGTAACAATACAGTGTCAACAATCAGCCGACCTCTATCGCCGAAAAATTTGTTTTTTATTATTCAGTTCAAAACATTTTTAAATTTAACAATTTGATGAGAGAGAGAAAGAGAGTGAAGGAGAGATTTGACATGTAAATATGCAAATAATGATAGTGCAAAGGCTATGCACAGCAATCTTCCAAAAAATCTTCACCCAGTCATTACTCTATAAATAAACCACCCAGTGAGGCTATTTTTAGCATTACGGACCTCCATTATAAAAGAGCGTGGTTCTCCCGGCTAGTCATTTTCCAGCACTAGAGAATGGCCACAAAGATCACAGATAAATAGTGTAAATAACAGGTACATATATGTTTTTTTAACCAAGACGATGGGATTGTGGTCGTGTCTATACAACGGTGAGGAGTAACTCTCGTTTTCATTTTTTGATATCATTTTACTATTACCTTTAAAAATAGATATCTAAATACAAAGTAACATTTTTAAATGATTATTACAGATCAGTTTAATCGTTGTTTCCGCGTTGAACACTATTTTTATTGATTTAATACTGTTCTTGTGTTATCTGAGGGCAGCATAAAAGATGGGGAAATGAGTTAGNCGGCGAAAACGCGAGAGGGCGTTAGAGACGTATTTGAGCCTGCCACGAGAGCGACACCAGGCCTACCCAACTACCAGACTCGGCACCTACGGATCCAGAATAAACCGGTATATCAGACCACACTACCCGTTTTCAAGGTGTGTGTCAGATCGCATTACAGAGTATCATACCCCATCACAAATTTTGTAAGCCTACCTGTCATCCGGGTATCGCGCCTCGTTTTCGTCAAGTAGGAGTCGTATGAATACAACAACATGGCGACAGACGACTCCCTCAATCAGGGGGTGGAAACGCGCTACTTATATGATTAAGACGAGCCTAGCCGTCAGTACCGGTTTTTGTTTTGTGACCTTGAAGAGCAATTAGGTTTGGTCGTTGCGGCACGCATGAACAGTAGTTGAACTACCACACCTGGGTCTTTTGTTTTTGACAACTGTTCACTCGTCATCGAGGCGCTTGTTCAAGACTACAAGCTGATATCTACTAGTACTACCAGTGGCTTCATTAGTTACGTTCCCACAATACTTAGTTTTCTGTCTGTGCGTACATACCCTGAAAAAGGCCAGCCTCGCTGACGAGAACAATGGACGTTTCTAACCCCTCTCTAGGATTACCCCTGCCCTCAATCTCGTCCATCCCGGTAGTCATGAAAATATTTAACCCCCGACAGAATAAGCTTCCGCTATCAAAATTAGGTCTATTTTCTAAATTAATATAAAAGTTTGCAAGTTCTTATTTACAAAACATCGTTGGCTATGTCCGAACCTAAATTTTATGTTAAAAATTGCGGTATTGTCAGATTTTAGCATAAACAGGGAAAATTGCAGCAGCGCATGAATCTAGATGAGATGCACTACTTTCCAACCCCGCTTAGGATCATTGTTATCACATCGCGCACCAGGCAAAATCGGTGTGGTGGCTGATACTCTGTAATGCGATCTGACACACACCTTGAAAACGGGTAGTATGGTCTGATAAACCAGTTTATTCTGGATCCGTAGGTGCCGAGTCTGGTAGTTGGGTAGGCCTGGACACTGTTGAAAAGGAAACGTCGTAAGATCCATCGCAGATGTTAATTTTCTTTTACTCTGTTCTAACGATATTTGTCATAAGTGATGCTGGCAAGTGGAAGCAAAGTAAAGACAATCTTGGTATTGACTGTTCATTAAAAATAAATATATTATAAGCAATACCGTAATACTTACTGCTAAAACATTTACATGTAGGCTTTATGTGCCATCAATCCAATTTAATTCTTGTAATTTTTTTGTACATTATACACATTAAATGTCCTAGATAATAATTATTCGTTGTTAACCAATCGTATGATTAACCTGTTTATGATTTTTCGTGGTTTTGATATTTGCTAACTTTCAGTTTTTTCTGAATGAATTACAATCGCAAATTTTTCTAACGAAATTTAAGACGTATTTATAAGTCAGAGTTCCAGACCATCGTTATCAGTGAAAAAGGACTTTAAAAATTTATACTATTTTCGAGGTTTTGGGAGTGGATGTGGAAGCGCTTAGCCCCACTGAAATTCGAAAAGTAAACCAGTCTCTCTCTCTCTCTCTCTCCGAAAATCACGAGTACATAACCCAGAGGAGACCCTATCCCCCATCTCTCTCTAGCTCTCTCACTGTTATTCCATTACAGTAAACTGCAGAATCAAGATAACAATATGTCTAGTATAGTCCAGGCCTGCAGTCAGCAAATGGGGCTCTTTTTGTCGAAAACTGAACCTTTCTTTCCCCTCGGTCGACAAAGCTTGAGATATGACATAGAATTTAAATCAAGTATTAATCAGAGGGGACCTTTTCTTGCCAAAAGGACGTTTTTTTTTTAATCCCCCCCCCCTTCCCCCGCCTACGGACGTTGTTTACAACTTTTTTATAATATAAACAAGATAAGTGATAAGTGATTTATCGGTCAGGGAGTAAATGGCTTGACCAAAGTAAAAGTCAGTTTTTACAGTCACCTAAATGATCTCTCGTGGGAGTAATTGTCATCTGAACTAACAATTTAACCTTAACTATACCGAATTAAAGTTAGATAAAATCACGCAACTCTTTTCATCGCTACCTTTCAGTAACATTCAGGAGTCATAGCCCATGGTAATTTAATGATATATTTTATAGTTGTTGGGAAAACACTCTCCTTGAAAGAAAATAGAAAGAAAGTAGATAAAAAAAGTCGTCAGTCAGTGAACTGTGGGATCTTATGACAGTCCTTCACTCTTCATGGTTCGTTTCACTATTGATGTGTATTTTCCCTGTCCAAGTGAAAAAAGGAAGGAAAATGTCAAATGCCAAAAATATTGATAAAATTTATTATTATTGTTATGATAATAATAATAATTATTATTATTATATAAATGAAGAAATGAACAAGTATATAAACCAAATGCATAAGCTTGTCTTTATATTTATTTTCTATTGCAACATGACTGAAAATGTGCAAAATGAGAAACAATACGACACCAGAAAAATAAAGTACATCAATATCATTTCGTACAATTATCCGCGGTTAATAATAGATTTTAAAGCAACGAATAAATTAATATGTAAGTATTAAATATTAGATTAACACTATAACAAAAAGCGTAATGTTGCACCGGTTTCGACACTGCAAAAATGCATGTATTATTTATAATAACAAAACAAATACTAACAACCAATTAAGACAGGCAAAAACACCAACCACACTTTCAAAAACTAGTGCAATATTAAATTTAAAAAAGCTAATTTTAAGTTAAAACGTAGATAAAAATGTAACGATACAGTGTCAACAATCAGCCGGCCGCTATCGCCGAAAAAAGTTTTCTATTATTTTGTTCAAAGCGTTTTTAACAAATTAGCGAGAGGGAGAGAGAGAGAGATTTGACATGTAAATATGCAAATAATGATGATGCAAAGGCTTTGCACAGCAATCTTCCAAAAAAATCTTCACCCAGTCATTCCTCTTTAAATAAACCACCCAGTGAGGTTATTTTTAGCATTACGGACCTCCATTATAAAAGAGCGTGGTTCGCCCGGCTAGTCATTTTCTAGCGCGAGAGAATCACAACAAAGATCACAGATAAATATTGTAAATAACAGGTACATCTATGTTTTTTGGAACCAAGACGATGGGATTGTGGTCGTGTCTATACAACGGTGAGGAGTAACTCTCGTTTTCATTTTTTGATATCATTTTACTATTACCTTTAAAAATAAATATCTAATACAAAGTAACATTTTGAAATGATTATTACAGATCAGTTTAATCGTTGTTTCCGCGTTGAACACTATTTTTAATTGATGTAATACTGTTCTTGTGTTATTTGAGGGCAGTATAAAAGATGGGAAAATGATGAGTAAGCGAGGATACGAGAGGAATTATAGATTATTTGTGATAATATTTGCTCAGAGAGAGAGAAAGAGAGAGTTAAATGTTATTATACGGCAAGTGAAATACATTTTCATTTTCAGATAGGTCTTCTAAAGCTCAGCAGCCACGCAAAACAATAATCATTCTTGGAGACGAGGGTTGTGGAAAATCTTGTCAAGTCAGCGTTTTCACAAAGGACGATTTCGCCATAAACCGTCTTCCTGTCCCTTCCACGAGTAATATTTCATACATAGAAATTGATGGCAAAATGGTAATTATTTATTCATATGGACAAACGGCAGTTTAAATGTTGCGCTGCATATCATTTCAACCCATGTTCTCATTATCAACAATATCAAAAAATCTTACATATATTTAGTTTGTTCCACACTTGAATAATAAAGAAAAACGTCTGTTTTAAAATTGATGCAGGACCCGCATGACAAAAGCGAGAAAATTTCAAAATTTTACATTCAATCTCTGTGTTTATCCCCCCCCCCCCTCACACGAAACCCTGGAACCATCAAAATATATATATATATATATATATATATATATATATATATATATATATATATATATATATATATATATCATTTTCAAGAGTGAATATCGAGAAAGTAAATTTTGAGTGTGGTATTTATATCTTTAGCTGTAATATCATATTTTTTAACTTTTAGTTTTACTTTTAGTACTTTTAAAACTTATTGCTTCTGTATCAGAAATGCTGATTTTGAAAAATTCCTTCCAGATTGAACTTATCCTCCGAGAACCAGCGGGGCTAGATGACGTCACCAGGCTTAACTCCCTTTCAGGCAACAAAAAGGACGCTGTTTTACTGTGTTATTCAATTGACAATCCCTGCAGTTTTAGAAATGCCTCATACAAATGGGCACCAGAGATCAACAAACGATGCCCGGATGTTCCCATTGTATTAGTTGGAAACAAAAAGGACTTACAAAATGACAAATATACTATTTGTGAACTAGGGACTCTACACGAAGAACCGATTGGTTGGCAAGCGGGACAGAAAATGGCCGAAAAGATAAATGCGTTTTCTTATATGGAATGTTCAGCAAAAACGCGGGAAGGAATTCGAGAGTTGTTTGAGACGGCAGCAAGAACGGCGGTGTTGAAAAAGAAGTGTCCAACTGTTGTTCGGAAATAATAATAATAATAATAATTATTATTATTATTACTTAGGAATAATTTAAGCACGTCAGCACGGCTGAAAGTGCATACTTAATAATTTTACAAACTGCTACCATATTAATAATTACAGCATATGAGGCTTCCAGAAGGACGTGTTGTCCTGTAATTAGCAATTTACCATATTTTTTAATAAATTCTTAAAAGTATATATTTTGTGAAGCAATATCTAACTTCGCATGCAGTATGCAAACATTAAGTTAAACTCCATAATGCAATTAGAAATAATTATTTTCTACGCAAAGACCCTTATATATGGGGAGTTATNTATATATATATATATATATATATATCATTTTCTAGAGTGAATATCGAGAAAATAAATTTTGAGTGTGGTATTTATATCTTTAGCTGTAATATCATATTTTTTAACTTTTAGTTTTACTTTTAGTACTTTTAAAACTTATTGCTTCTGTATCAGAAATGCTGATTTTGAAAACTTCCTTCCAGATTGAACTTATCCTCCGAGAACCAGCGGGGCTAGATGACGTCACCAGGCTTAACTCCCTTTCAGGCAACAAAAAGGACGCTGTTTTACTGTGTTATTCAATTGACAATCCCTGCAGTTTTAGAAATGCCTCATACAAATGGGCACCAGAGATCAACAAACGATGCCCGGATGTTCCCATTGTATTAGTTGGAAACAAAAAGGACTTACGAAATGACAAATATACTATTTGTGAACTAGGGACTCTACACGAAGAACCGATTGGTTGGCAAGCGGGACAGAAAATGGCCGAAAAGATAAATGCGTTTTCTTATATGGAATGTTCAGCAAAAACGCGGGAAGGAATTCGAGAGTTGTTTGAGACGGCAGCAAGAGCGGCGGCGTTGAAAAAGAAGTATCCAACTGTTGTTCGGAAATAATAATAATAATTATTATTATTATTATTACTTAGGAATAATCTAAGCACGTCAGCACGGCTGAAAGTGCATACATATTAATTTTACAAACTGCTACCGTATTGATAATTACAGTATATGAGGCTTCCAGAAGGACGTGTTGTCCTGTAATTAGCAATTAACCATATTTCTTAATAGATTCTTAAAAGTATATATTTTGTGAAGCAACATCTAACTTCGCATGCAGTATGCAAACATTAAGTTAAACTCCATAATGCAATTAGAAATAATTATTTTCTACGCAAAGACCCTTATATATGGGGAGTTATGTACCATATATAAGTATATATATATATATTTTTTTTTTTTTTTTTCATGGACACAGCTGAAACCCGGAAAACTAGCTGTATCAAAAACGAAATAAATACTTTGATGCTTATCTCAGCGTTTAAATGCAAATATACGTTTCTATAGTATAACCTGTTTAGATTAAGCTCATGCATAAAAACGAGGAAATGATTTGCTTCTTGCATATTCAATGCCCAGAATCTATTACGACAATGAGTTATGTTGATGTAGGCGTGTGCGTTGGTCCATCCAAAGCCGCCGTTTATTTCTCCATACTTGATTCACTGATTATTATCAGTCTATCTTTAGTTGTATTCAGTGCTGATATTACTTAACTTTATTTTCAAAATCTGATTTAACAAGGAGCTAATTTTTCTCTGTGGGCAAACCTTTAATCCACGTGATTTTGATTTCATTTTATTTTGTTACATAAGCCATTCATGTTATCAAAATGCTTTGTGGTGTACTTGGTAAAAAAATGCCCAACTTAAATGACTTTTTTAAAATATAAACTAAAAACGCTTATTTAAAGACCTTTATTCCTATCTCTATAAGTTTTGGCAAAGATATCAAATAGCAATCAGTTTGGAAATGGTTATAGGTATTAGGGGATTCTTGCACGCTTTTTTCTTTGAATAATGCATAAATTACGGACAATGAAATATTTATTTTTCATGTTGATATTTCATTCGTGGCGGCCTTTCGAGATACATGGATAATCTTCATTTCAATTTTCTGTATTCCATCATTGGGCTTCGTCAATAAATTTAAATTATAGAAGAAAATTGTAGTCTTTAGAAACTCAGCTTGGCTTGGGCAGATCATCCCTCTAGCTCAGTTTTTGGTATTGCACATATCTTTAACAAGAGATAGATATCCTAAAGAAGCCATAGGAAGTGTACGCCCCGCACACACCTATTGCATACGTCCCAATGGGTAGGTCTCCTTGCGGGATCTGGAGCAGAGAGGTAAAGCCGCCACAAACGGGACTGTCGTCATTCCAGTGCATAAAGTGATATCCGCGGATGCCGCATATCTGAAGTCCACCGCGTTCAATAAATAACGTCGCATCACAGGCAAAAAGAACCACCATCGTGTCGAAGGTGGCGGCATTGCATGTGGATATACTGATGTTGTTACACCCCGAGTAACTGATGCTGTATTGTAACGGTACCAGGTCGAAATCAACAAATCGAAAGCGGCTGCTGAAGGAGTAGGTTGTACCGTCACACCTGACTTGTCGAACGTCCGCTGTAAGTGTAAATATAATTTTTAAACTAGCATTTGACTTTCACATTGGCCACAATATTTTGCAATAATAATGATAATTTAAGCAGCTACCACATATATATAATTTCCGAAACTGAACTCTAAAAGTTCTTAAAAGTAAAATAACAATACAAATAATTATAAATAATAATAATAATTAAAGATAAAAATAATTAAGTTTAATACTAGTATGTTAAAAGATTAATCGTATAATATACAAAAAATACAGTAAGTAAAAAGTAGGGAAAGCATAAACTAAGCTGCGTACGTAACTTTAAGACCCCAAACGGCATGATTTTTACATCGTTTTTATGTACAGACACACCGCGCCTGGTGTACAGGGACACATTGTGCACGGTGGAAAATTTCTAGACAAAACTGGATAACTTCCTTGCTAGTATACTATATATATAGACCAACCCACACTGGTGACCACCATAAGGTGGAAAAACTTAACAAGTAAAGAGAAAGTAAGTAAAACCCCTTTTACACTAGACGGCGTCCTTTCTGCGTCCCGTACGTACATGTAGTACGGCCCCGTTTGAGAGTAAAAAAAGTAATACTTTACGTGCCAACAACTTGCAGATCAATGAGCATTCATTCTGCAACCACGGCGATGCCTGTTTCATGGTCGCACAAAGGACGCAGAAAGGACGCCGTCTAGTGTAAAGGGGGTGTATGTAAGAAAGTAAGCATTAAATGATATTGTATCAAAGTTGAAGAAAACCATGTTTTGGGCACCGATGCTATAATGACCAACAAAGGAAGACTTTGTTACTTATGATTATCAAACATACAGAAAAGATTAATAGAACTGAAGTACAGCTTGAGTTGGAAAACCATATATTTATAATTTCATTATTTTTCTGGAAGAAATGCTTTTTTTTTTTTGGCAAAAATGTTGGACTTAGAACTCCCACTGGCATGACGCCTTATGGTAGTTATATATTCTTAGTATCCACGTTAGATAAATTAAAAATTGTTGGTGACTATGCTTTGTTGTCAAGCATAATGTATTATTGCATCAAAACTGTCAAAAATTTTTTTTGCATTATTGTGTGTTCATCTGACAGTTTTGCTGCCTTATTGACTTCCCTTTCTACACACTGGTATGTAGGTAAAAAAAAGATGCCATACTTACGACAATATCTTGGAATTATAGCTGAAAAAATTGATAAGAAGAAATATAGTAGATAAGTACATTAATGATATACTGTATATACACACACTGGACAATAGGAGTGTCACCCCTACTGAACCAATACTTTGGGGGAGAGAAATGACTGTGGAATGATATGCTCCTGGTATCATTTTATTAACATCAAATTTCACAAAAAGACCAACAATACAATTCCATGGTACAGCGGTTTTATACTCATTAGTCGCATTATAAGTAGATCAGGCATTATAAACTTTGATTACTCTGTTTCAGGGGGTGAAGGGGGTGACACTTCTCTTGTCCAGTGTGTGTACAAGTAATCAGTATATTGTACAACTTCTGCCACCACTTCTGCCGATAAATTTATGTGAAGATATTAATTCTTAATGTCAAAACACACACCAGTTTCCCAACATACCAACAATTTTTTGTTCACTGCGTTTTTTAATTATCCTATAACGTGAATCGTAAGGTAATATTCATTACCACAATTATTTTCAATTTTAAAAAACATATCTTACATATCTTAAATATAGAAGTCTATAGACTATTTCTATACAGCAAATAAAATTTCCCGCTCCACTGCTTTTTTGTCGAACTCATTAGATGAACAATGATAAAAACCAACTAGTTTTACCAATTATTTTCTATTTCTGGCTATAGAAAGATAGAAGTTGAGAGGGCATGTTTGCAAATCAAATGTAATGTTTGATGTAATACTTACGACATGTCGGTATATCTAGGGGAAAAAAGAAAGGCAATATTAAACACAATGGAGTATCACTTGAATATATAATCATTCAAACAATTATCATTTAAACACTGACATTTTCGTCATTTCAGATCCGGCGACAAATGTATGTTATCCTTTAAAAATAGAGTTTAGTTGATTCCATCAATGACAAAATAGTGGAATTTAATGCTGAATTACCAAAAGAACTCAACGTTAACACAGATGCTCATAGATAACTATGTGAGGGAGTGAAGCGGTTAATTACGATTGGGTTTATTTACTCCCTCGATTATGTAGAAGTCGGAACAAAACAAAAAGGAGTCCATAAGGTTTCCTTCAAATGGTAACACAATTTGAAAAGAAAAGTATAAAGACTAAGTTTCCTTCTAACTTTAGAACTAATATCTTAACCTCAAACCCCCTCCCCCTTTCGTAATGGTACTAATACACAATGCAGTACTGCACCAATGCAATGAAGCCTATCACTGCCAGTTCTTACCTAGAATGCAATTTTGTGGATCTGGATCAGAAGGGTTGAACACGTATCCCTCTTTACACACACAGACCCGAGGTTCTGGACAAGGTAAACTTTGACCTTCTTCATTGATAGTATTCTGGCAGTTCGACAATATTTTATCCACTACCTCACAACATCTGGTATTACTACCACACACAACTGGTGGCCTCACCACAATTTATGAAACAGAAGACAAAACTTATCAACACAGGGAAATTAATTTATATAGATTTCAATTCAGAACATGATGCCAGGATTATTGTGCTTCTGTGCGCATCCTTCTTCAGTGTGTAACATGAAAGACAGTGCGCCATACAAAACATTGCCAACGTGACAAATGACTATGGGTATACGATACACGTTTTCAACCTTTGTAACTTAAAATGCTGCATAAGATCTTAAGTTTAATAATGAAGTCATATGCACAATATACACCAATACTTTGGGGGAGATAAATGACTGTGGAATGATATGCTCCTGGTATCAGTTTATTAACAAGTTTACAAGTTTAAATATGGTTGTATCGAAAGCACAAACACAAAGAATAAAGAGTGCCTTACTCTTCCGTGAAGAGGTAAAAAAGCAGAACTTAAACCAGCAAAGACAGTAGGCCAAAAAAACATGGCCAAATTCCATCCAATGTGACGTATGACGATGCGGGTACACAATACCCACTTTTAAGTTATATGTCACGTGTACGCAAACCATGATTAAAAATATTATTTCTACATATACTGTTATGAGATCTAAAGTTTAACGATGAAGTCATCTGCACAATATATACATGTTAAATTACAAATTTAAATATGGTAGTATCGAAATCACAAACATAAAGCATAAAGAGTGCCTTACTCTTCCTTGAAAAGGAAAAAAGCAGAACGTTAACCAGCAATGAAAGTCCTCACCTGGCACGCAATTTTGTGGATCTGGATCAGAAGGGTTGAACATGTATCCCTCTTCACACACACAGACCAGAGGTTCTGGACAAGGTAAACTTTGACCTTCTTCATTGTTAGTATTCTTACAGTTTGACACTGTATTGTTATCCATTATCTCACAGCATCTGGTATTATTACCACACACAACTGGGGGCCTCACTTCAATTTATGAAATAGAAGTCAAGACTTGTCAACATAAGGAAATGAATTTATATAGATTTAATTTTGGAACATAATGTCTTGATCACTGCATTTCTGTGTGTATCCTTTTAGAACATTATTTTAGAAGTCATTAATTTTAGGACATTGTGGCAAATTCATGCTTATATGTTTATACTTCTAACATGGGATACAGTGTGCCATAAAGAGTAATGCCAAATTCCACCCACTGTGATGTGTGATGACTGGTATACAACACTTGTTTTCCAACCAGTGTAAATTACAATACTACATGTCGTGCATATATATGCAACATTATTTTTCAATATATTGATATAAGATCTAAAGTTTTATAGTGAAATCATATGTACAATATACACATGTGTACAAGTTTAAGTACGATAGTATTAAAATCATGAACACAAATCATTGAGAGTTCCATACTTTTTCTTGAAAGGTAAAAAAGCAAAACTTTAACCAGCAATGAAAGTTCTCACCTGGAACGCAATTTTGTGGATCTGGATCAGAAGAGTTGAACATGTATCCCTCTTTACACACACAGACCCGAGGTTCTGGACAAGGTAAACTTTGACCTTCTTCATTGGTAGTATTCTGACAGTTTGACACTGTACTGTTATCCACTATCTCACAGCATCTGGTATTATTACCACACACAACTGGGGGCCTCACTTCAATTTATGAAACAAAAGTCAAGACTTGTCAACACAAGGAAATGAATTTATATAATTTAATTTTGGAACATTATGTCTTGGCCATTGCATTTCTGTGTGTATCCTTCTAACATGAGGTACAGTGTGTCATATAAAACACTGCCAAATTATACCCACTTTGACAAGGGCGATGGTCATCTGACATCATTTTAAAACCAGTGTCATTTACAAAGCTACATGTCATGCGTACTCAAACAATGATAAAAATTTTTCTTCTACACATTGTTATAAGATCTTTAGATTAATAATAAAGTCATCTGCACAATACATACATGTTGACAACATTAAATATGGTAGTATTGAAATCACAAACACAAAGCATAAAAAGTGTCTCACTCTAATTGAAAAGGTTAAAAAAAGCAGAACTTTAACCAGCAATGAAAGTTCTCACCTGGAACGCAATTTTGTGGATCTGGAACAGAAGAGTTGAACATGTATCCCTCATCACACACACAGACCAGAGGTTCTGGACAAGGTAAACTTTGACCTTCTTCATTGGTAGTATTCTGACAGTTTGACACTGTACTGTTATCCACTACCTCACAGCATCTGGTATTATTACCACACACAACTGGTGGCCTCACTTCAATTTATGAAACAGAAGTCAAAACTATAAAACACAGTATAATGGATTAATGTAGATTTCGTTTTAGTCGTTTTAGAGCATTATGTCATGACAATTGTGCTTCTGTGTGCATCCTTTCTAAATGTATGTGTGAGACAGAGCGCCATACGAAACACTGTCAAATTCCACCCAAGAAGAGGTGTGACGATGGGCAAAGGATACCCATTTTCCAACCACTGTAAATAAGTAAGCTGCATGTCACGTGTACGCAAACCACGATTAAAAATATTACTTCTACACATATTGTTAGAAGATTTAAAGTTTAATGATGAACTGATATGCAAAAAAATATACCAGTACATGTGAAAAAGTTTAAATATGGTAGTATCAGAATCACAAAAACGAATCATAAAGAGTGCCTTACTCTTCCTTGAAAGGTAAAAAAGCAAAACTTTAACCAGCAAAGTGAGTTCTTACCTGGTACGCAATTTTGTGGATCTGGATCAGAAGAGTTGAAAATGAATCCCTCATCACACACACAGACCAGAGGTTCTGGACAAGGTAAACTTTGACCTTCTTCATTGGTAGTATTCTGACAGTTTGACACTGTACTGTTATCCACTACATCACAACATCTGGTATTATTACCACACACAACTGGGGGCCTCACTTCAATTTATGAAAAAGAAGTCAAAACTCATGAATAATTTTAGAACATCATTTTAGAACTCATTAATTTTAGGACATTGTGGCAAATTCATGCTTATATGTTTATACTTCTAACGTGGGATACAGTGTGCCATAAACAGCATTGCCAAATTCCACCCACTGCGATGTGTGATGACTGGTATACAACACTTGTTTTCCAAGCAGTGTAAATTACAATACTACATGTCGCGCATATATATGCAAACCATGATTAAAAATATTATTTTTCAATATATTGATATAAGATCTAAAGTTTTATAGTGAAATCATATGTACAATATACACATGTGTACAAGTTTAAGTACGATAGTATTAAAATCATGAACACAAATCATTGAGAGTGCCTTACTCTTCCTTGAAAAGGAAAAAAAGCAGAACTTAACCAGCAATGAATGTTCTCACCTGGAACGCAATTTTGTGGATCTGGATCAGAAGAGTTGAACATGTATCCCTCATCGCACACACAGACCCGAGGTTCTGGACAAGGTAAACTTTGACCTTCTTCATTGGTAGTATTCTGACAGTTTGACACTGTACTGTTATCCACTACCTCACAGCATCTGGTATTATTACCACACACAACTGGGGGCCTCACTTCAATTTATGAAACAGAAGTTAAAACTTATTAACAAAGGGAAATAATTTTATGTATTCTTTTATTTAAGACCAATATTTGAAAAGAAAAGTATGAAGTAAAAAACTTTTCATCCAACTTCAGAACCAATATGTCGACTTCACCCCCCCCCTTTCCTAATGGTGGTCATGGTACTGCACCCATGCAATAAAGTGTAACTGCCAGTTCTCACCTGGAACGCAATTTTGTGGATCTGGATCAGAAGAATTGAACATGTATCCCTCATCACACACACACACAGACCAGAGGTTCTGGACAAGGTAAACTTTGACCTTCTTCATTGTTAGTATTCTGACAGTTTGACACTGTACTGTTATCCACTACATCACAACATCTGTTGTTATTACCACACACAACTGGGGGCCTCACTTCAAGTTATGAAACAGAAGTCAAACCTTGTCAACACAAGGAAATTAATTTATATAGATTTAATTTTGGAACATTATGTCTTGATCATTGCATTTCTGTGTGTATCCTTCTAACATGAGGTACAGTGTGTCATATAAAACACTGCCAAATTATACCCACTTTGACAAAGGCGATGGTCATCCGACATCATTTTCCAACCATTGTAATTTACAAAGCTACATGTCACACGTACTCAAACAATGATAAAAAATTTTTCTTCTACACATTGTTATAAGATCTTTAGATTAATAATAAAGTCATCTGCACAATACATACATGTTGACAACTTTAAATATGGTAGTATTGAAATCACAAACACAAAGCATAAAGAGTGTCTCGCTCTTATTGAAAAGGAAAAAAAAACAGAACTTTAACCAGCAATGAAAGTTCTCACCTGGCACGCAATTTTGTGGATCTGGATCAGAAGATTTGAACATGTATCCCTCATCACACACACAGACCAGAGGTTCTGGACAAGGTAAACTTTGACCTTCTTCATTGGTAGTATTCTGACAGTTTGACACTGTACTGTTATCCACTATCTCACAGCATCTGGTATTATTACCACACACAACTGGGGGCCTCACTTCAAGTTATGAAACGGAAGACAAAACTTGTCAACACAGTATAATGAACTCATGTATATTTCGTTTTAGTCGTTTTAGAGCATGATGTCATGACAATTGTGCTTCTGTGTGCATCCTTTCTAAACGTAGCCTACATGAGAGACAGAGCGCCATACAAAACATTGTCAAATTCCACCCAACGTGAAGTGAGACGATGGGTATACGATACCCATTTTCCAACCAGTGTAAATAAGTAAGCTGCATGTCACGTGTACGCAAACCATGATTAAAAATATTACTTCTACACATATTGTCATAAGATTTAAAGTTTAATAATGAAGTGATATGCAAAAAATATACCAGTACATGTTTAAATATAGTAGTATCAGAATCACAAACATGAATCATAAAGATTGCCTTATTCTTTCTTGAAAGGTAAAAAAGCAAAACTTTAACCAGCAAAGTGAGTTCTTACCTGTCCGAGGTTCTGGACAAGGTAAACTTTGACCTTCTTCATTGGTAGTATTCTGACAGTTTGACAGCGTACTGTTATCAACTATCTCACAGAATCTGGTATTATTACCACACACAACTGGAGGCGTCACTTCAATTTATGAAACAGAAGTCAAAACTATAAAACTGTATAATTTTATATCATTATTTTAGAACTCATTAATTTTTTAACATTGTGGCAAATTCATGCTCATATGTTTATACTTCTAAAATGAGATACAGTGTGCCATAAATAGCAATGCCAAATTCCACCCACTGCGACGTGGAACGTGAAATAAAACACTTGTTGTATATAATAACAAATATTATTTTATTTTTTATTAGTTGAAAAGTTTAAACAAAAATTCACCTTCATGAATTAAAAGAGTAAAAAAGAGCACAGAACCCCCTGACGATAGCAGTTCTTTGCTCTTCCAGGATTCAAGCACATAACTTTTTATGAAACTTCAGAACCAATACTGTGTATCTCGGCTTCAACCCCTTCTGTTTCCCCTAATTACTTATACTAATTACCGTACCGCTACAATAAAGTCCATAAGTGCCATTTCTCACCTGGAACGCAACTTTTGGAACGCGGATCAGAGATGTTCAACCTGTATCCCTCATTACACACACAGGACCATTTATGCGGGCAAGGTAAACTTTTTTCAATGATATTATTCTTGCAGTAGATCGAGTGTCTTCTAACCCTACAGCACTTGGAGTTCTCCCCACACACGGGTCTTGGCGAAGGTTTTTTACACCCTTTGCCTCGACTGCCGCACTCCTGGCAGCGTATACGGGAGAAGGCGAGGTGCGATGGCTTAGCGTGCCGGCCGCCGTGTTTGCGTGGATGCCCAGGACATGTTCGGGTTATGCAGAAACGGCTGTGCTTTGTACGCCCTAAATGTAAACTCAAGATTTTACATAAAGTAAAACAGCTTAGACCTATATCATTTTTGTCTAATTTGTCGAAAAACCTGCATTAAAAAAACGTTTTTAAATTATAACATGTTATGACAAAAAACATGTCATAATGTCCGAACTCGCTTGTAAGTAACGTAAGCATTACCATTTGATAGTAAATGGACATCACAATTTTATTAAATCGTGCTCTTTTGTGGATTGCTTTTGATCTTGACGCGATTTTTAAGGCTGTTTTCTAATAACTGATATCGCTTGACGCCATTGCATTGACAAGTTGCATTGTACCATCATGCAAGCCAACCCACGGCTCTTCTTTCATGTAGGGTCTGCCATATTTGATCTGTGGATCAGTAGATCTTCTGATCTCCAGTTCTGAATGCGTCCTTTGTCGAATGAAGCTATTGTTCTGCCGTGTAATGCATCTTTTGTGAACGTGAAAGTAACAAAACTAAGCAGAATGTTTGGCTAACTGGAACACCGTTCAAAACGAAAGACGGTCCGAGAGAAGTGAGTTACTTTATAGCATAATGCAGATGAAACAGGGACCGATCAAATAAAGTTTGACCAGTCATGGTAATTTGAAAAAAAAAACAAAAACATCTATCTTTAAAATACTTGATGGTGAATTATTAATGTCATAATTTAGCACTTACGAATATTGGCGACCGCATACAGTGCAACCAAAACCAAAATCAGACAAAGGAGCATTGTCCTGTACATCTTCATCTTCAAACGGTAGTCCGGGCGACAGGTTATCAGTGACTACGGCAGTATGTGGGTCCGATGAAACGCTCAATGAACTGAAACCTTTTCGGCTTCCTTTTTATAGAGCATTTCTTGGTTGACAAGTTTTAACTGATCGTTTTCTAGGGGAGGCACAGTTGTTCTATCCCCTACCAGGGCCGCAGGTTAAATATGTGCATTTTTCATTTGGCGCGAGAGTCGTGTTATAAAAAAGCCTAAGACATATCTGTGAACATCTAGAGAAAAAAATCTGTGGCCTTGGTAACTTTGCTCAGTGCTCAAGAATTTTTTTAATGGGGGGGGGCAGGAATGTGTATATATTTTCCGCGATCGGCGCTTCGAAGAATAGGATAATTACATTCGTTTTTCACTAACACGCTGGCCTGTAATTCGGTCATTTTAATACGCATCGGTGCGTTCCGAGCGAAATACAAGTCAGTGCAATTATCCTATTGTTCGAAGCGGCAGCCGTGAGATAAGTCAGTTACAACTACTCATCGTCTTCTGTATTGGACATTCGAGAGAAAATCGTTTCAGCTGTGCCTCGATATAATTACGCTGTTGTATGTGACACAGTGTTCGACTCGCACTGTTTGTTGTTACTAGAACGTACATCATATAACTGATAACAGTTTCTTAAGCAGATTGTAGTAACTTGAGATTACTTTTTTCCAAAGCACACGCCTGGACAGGTGTACGCACAGGGTGTGGCAAGACTGCCGCACTCACGGACGGACTGTGCAAACGACTCCCCAAACCCCAACTCCCCCCCCCCCCCCCAAAAAAAAGTTAAATTTTGTTTAGGTTTCTCTTAGGGTTATGTGTTAAAATACTTGAACTGGTCGATACTCGGACAGATACTTGAGACAACGACCTGTACCCTGTACCACTTTTGTCAGGAGGTACCCGTGTAATTTTTTTCTCAAAATGAAAAATTATATTTAAATTCCGTTGCTATGTTGACGCACTAAGTCAACAAAGGTCACTTATTTGATGACTGTCTCGGATACTCACAGTGTTTATTTCCTTTGTTGCACCTTAGGAACGGAATGAAATTCAAAACATTATTCCCCTTCACTGCTTTTATTTTAATTTTATTTCTAGAAAAAAATCTATTCATTCATAATTTGTCAATGATGCATGTATTCATATAGGCCTATTATTCATTTTAGAATTGAAGTTGGGAGGTATGAAAACAGAGAAGAGGCAAAATGAAGAGCGGGGACTAACAGTTATATCGTAGGTACTTTCACAACTTAATATGACTAACAGACAATTTGATAGGCCACGCCTTCATACCCTTGCAGGGGGTTTGGGGTAGGGGGTGTGGGGGGGGNAAAAAAAAAAAAAAAGAAAAAAAAAGTTAAATTTTGTGTAGGTTTCTCTTAGGGTTATATGTTAAAATACTACATGGGCTTGAACTGGTCGATACTCGGACAGATACTTGAGACCACGACCTGTACCCTGTACCACTTTTGTCAGGAGGTACCCGTGTAATTTTTTTCTCAAAATAAAAAATTATATTTAAATTCCGTTGCTATGTTGACGCACTAAGTCAACAAAGGTCACTTATTTGATGACTGTCTCGGATACTCACAGTATTTATTTCCTTTGTTGCACCTTAGGAACGGAATGAAATTCAAAACATTATTCCCCTTCACTGCTTTTATTTTATTTCTAGAAAAAAAATCTATTCATTCATAATTTGTCAATGATGCATGTATTCATATAGGCCTATTATTCATTTTAGAATTGAAGTCGGGAGGTATAAAAACAGAGAAGAGGCAAAGTGAAGAGCGGGGACTAACAGTTATATCGTAGGTACTTTCACCAATTAATATGACTAATAGGGAATTTGATAGGCCACGCCTTCATACCCTTGCAGGGGGTTTGGGGGAGGGGGTGGGGGGGAGGGGGGATGAGGGGATGTAGGCTGCGATTTTACCATTTTTCTTGGATCACAATTACGATTATCATTTTTCCTCCGGCACCCTTGCTCATATACTAGACGCAGATCTCACCATTTATCCTCTTGAATTCCTAGAAATTTGACAGCGATGTGAAAGGGATCAAATACAGGGGCAGATTCAAAGATATTTTCTGACAGGCTTCCACATCATCTAAATTGATCCACCTTCCATTTTTGACCGTCTTCCGACAAAAAAAGAATAGATACCCGTCATTGTAAACTTGAAAATCTGACCGTCTTCCGGAAGACCCAGAAGACGGCCTAAATCCGCCCCTAAAATAAACGGGATATGACTGCTTGATCTAGCTGTAAATAATCCCCACCCATGCTTCCTTGGCTTATGAAAAGGGCATACATGTAACTGAATAAAAATAAAGCAAGGAAAGAAAATAAAATGCTCAATGAACACTAGCTAAATGTGTGTACAAATATCAGTCGATTAAACAATAGAGGAGAGCACAGCCGTACACGTGTACGCGCCTCCCTTAACTTACAAAGTACACCCCCCCCCCCACACACACACACCAAATAGACAAAAATAAATAAAAGTTTAACGGGCGAAGCGAGACAAAACCAAGGTTTTATCCATCCCCGTGAACAACAAAATGTCCCCGGCAAAAAAAGATAAACAAAAGATTAGAACGTATACCTATACTTCAAAGGTTGTTGGAAAGAGCGGGCGAAATGAAAATTCAAAACAGAATACCCTCTCACTGTATTTTTATCTTATTTCTTGAAAAAAATTAATTAATTCAAAATTTGTCCATGATCTTTTCAAATATTTCTTCATTCTTAAATATCAAAGAGGTAATCTACTGAGTAAAAAACAAAACATAATTATTGTTCAGTTAGATTATGACGAAGATAAGCATGCAATGTCAAGATGAAGGTGAAATTAAGTGTTTATATGATATTTTTCAATAGGCAGACTCTATCAAGGCATCTTTTGATTAATTCCTGACTTTTTTCCCTTGATCGACAAGGGAAGGAAGGGTTTGGGGATAACGCTCAAACAAAAGGTGCCCCTCTCAGCATCTGATCCATTTTCAGAAGATAAAATAAGCCTACACGTTTAAATACCTATGTACTGATTAAGTGCAATATGACGTCTAAACAACAGGCTAAGGTATTTTTGTTCGCTTCCAACACCCTGAGTGCCACTGTAGGTAGATTAAAAGAGACTTCAGGTTACAGCATGCTGATGATACAGGGGTTAGATTCAAATGACCATCAAACTCAGGTCGCTACGGAAGACAACAATTCTGATTATATAGAGCAAGGACGTGTATAGAATATATTCAATATGCATCCTTGCATGGAGCTAGGATATCAGTGAGCTTTGGAAAATCAAGATGACTTCCTTTAATTGCAGTTGATTAAATTACCTTCTCACCTTCCAGACGCAGATTCTACGGCGTACCCTACGAGACAGAAGTTGGTGATTGTTGGGGATGGCGCCTGTGGTAAATCCTGCCTGCTCAACGTGTTTACACAGGACGACTTTACCCTCAGCTATATTCCCACCGTCTTTGAGAACTACGTAACCGACATAGAAGTGGATGGAAAACAGGTGCGACTCTTTTGTAGTATTTTTTTAAAATTAAATTGAAGACTTGAGAGTTAAAATTGTCTGTTATAAAATATAGTGTTCATCCGTTCATTTGATTTAAGCTCTTCTCTCTCTCATATATTCCTACTGTTTTTAATTAGAAATAATGTTTTTTATTTCAGATCGAGTTGACACTTTGGGATACTGCCGGCCAGGAAGATTACGACCGTTTACGGCCCTTATCTTATCCCGATACTGACGTCATACTAATGTGTTACTCTACAGACAGTCCTGACAGCCTGGCCAACATCGCCGAAAAATGGGCCCCGGAGATCAACCACTTTTGTCCCAATGTTCCTGTAGTTCTAGTGGCAAATAAAAAGGACTTGAAAAAAGATGAAGAGATCATTACTAAACTGGCAAAGCTGAACGAAAAGCCGGTGGACTACATGGCTGGGGAAGACACTGCGGCAAAAATTGGTGCTTTTTCTTTCCTTGAGTGTTCGGCGAAAACGCGAGAGGGCGTTAGAGACGTATTTGAGCCTGCCACGAGAGCGACACTGTTGAAAAGGAAACGCCGTAAGATCCATCGCAGATGTTAATTTTTTTATTACTCTGTTCTAAAGAAATTTGTCATAAGTGATGCTGGCAAGTGGAAGCAAAGTACAGACAATCTTGGTCGTTAAAAATAAATACATTGTAAGTAATGCCGTAATACTTACTGCTAAAACATTAACATGTAGGCTATATGTGCCATCAATCCAATTTGATTCTTGTAAATTATGTTTTTTATATTATACACATTAAATGTCCTTAATAACAATTATTCGTTGTTAACCAAGCGTATAATTGACCAATTTATATTCTTTCATAGTTTTGATATTTGATAACTTCCATTTTTTTCTGGATGAATTACAATCGCAAATTTTTCTAACGAAATTTAAGACGTATTTATAAGTCAGAGTTCTAGAACATCGTTATCAGTGAAAAAGGACTCTTAGAAAATTCATACTATTTTCGAGGTTTTGGGAGTGGATGTGCAAGTGCTTAGCCCCACTGAAAAGTAAACCAGTCTCTCTCTCTCTCTCTCTCTCCTAAAATCACGCGTACATAACCCAGAGGAGGCCCTATCCCTAACCCCTCTCTCTCTCTCTCTCTCTCTTCTAAAATCACGCGTACATAACCCAGAGGAGGCCCTATCCCTCACCTCTCTCTCTCTCTCTCTCTCTCTCTCTCTCTCTGTCTCACTATTATTCCATCACAGTAAACTACAGAATCAAGATAGCAAAATGTCTAGCAACAGGCCTGCATTCAGCAACCAGGGTTCCTTTTGTCGAAAACTGAACCTCTCCTTCCCCTCAGTTGACCCAGCTTGAGAAATGTCATAGAATTTAAATCAAGTATTGATTCAGAGGGGATCTTTTCTTGCCAAAAAGACGTTTTTAACCCCACCACCTCGCCCTGCCTACGGACATGAGCCTTATATGTTGTTTACATTTTTTTATATTATAAACGAGATAAGTGATAAGTGATATATCGGTCACTGAATAAATGGCTTGACCAAAGTAAAGGTCAGTTTTTAGAGTCACCTAAATGATCACTTGTGGGAGTAATTGTCATCTGAACTAACTATTTTACCTTAACTATACCAAATTAAAGGTAGATAAAATCAAGCAACTCTTTTCATCGCTACCTTTCAGTAACATTCAGGAGTCATAGCCCATGGTAATTTAATTATATTTTTTATTGTTGTTGGGAAAAACACTCTCCTTGAAAGAAAATAGAAAGAAAGTAGATGAAAAAGTCGTCAGTCAGTGAACTCTAGGATCTTATGACAGTCCTTCACTCTTCATGGTTCGTTTCACTACTGATGTGCATTTTCCCTGTCCTGGTGAAAATAAAAGAAGGAAAATGGGAAGCCCCATTTTCTCAAATGCCAAAAATATTGATAAAATTTATTATTATTATTATTATATAAATAAAGGAATGAACAAGTATATAAGCCAAATGCAAAAAGTTGTCTTTATATTTATTTTCTATTGCAACATGACTGAAAATGTGCAAAATGAGAAACAATACGACACCAGAAAAAGTACATCAATATCATTTCGTACAATTAACCGCGGTTAATAATAGATTTTAAAGCAATGCATAAATTAATATTTTAGTATTAAATATTAAATTAACACTATAACAAAAAGCGTAATGTTGCACTGGTTTCGACACTGCAAAAATGCATGTATTATTTATAATAACAAAACAAATGCTAACAACCAATTAAGACAGGCAAAAGCACCAACCACACTTTCAAAAACGTGTGTAATATTAAATCTAAAAAAGCTAATTTTAGGTTAAAACATAGATAAAAATGTAACGATACAAAGTCAACAATCAGCCGACCGCTATTGCCGAAAAAAGTTTTTTTATTATTTTGTTCAAAGCGTTTTTAACAATTTAATGGGGGAGATTTGACATGTAAATATGCAAATAATGATAGTGCAAAAGCTCTGCACAGCAATCTTCCCAAAAAATCTTCACCCAGTCATTCCTCTATAAATAAACCACCCAGTGAGGCTATTTTTAGCATCACGGACCTCCATTATAAAAGAGCGTGGTTCGCCCGGCTAGTCATTTTCTAGCGCGAGAGAATCACCACAAAGATCACAGATAAATATTGTAAATAACAGGTACATCTATGTTTTTTTGAACCAAGACGATGGGATTGTGGTCGTGTCTATACAACGGTGAGGAGTAACTCTCGTTTTCATTTTTTGATATCATTTTACTATTACCTTTAAAAATAAATATCTAATACAAAGTAACATTTTAAAATGATTATTACAGATCAGTTTAATCGTTGTTTCCGCGTTGAACACTATTTTTAATTGATGTAATACTGTTCTTGTGTTATCTGAGGGTAGTATAAAAGATGGGAAAATGATGAGTAAGCGAGGATACGAGAGGAATTATAGATTATTTGTGATAATATTTGCTCAGAGAGAGAGAGAGAGAGAGAGAGAGAGAGAGAGAGAGTTAAATGTTATTATACGGCAAGTGAAATACATTTTCATTTTCAGATAGGTCTTCTAACGCTCACCAGCCACGCAAAACAATAATCATTCTTGGAGACGAGGGGTGTGGAAAATCTTGTCTAGTCAGCGTTTTCACAAAGGACGATTTCGCCATAAACCGTCTTCCTGTCCCTTCCACGAGTAATATTTCATACATAGAACGGCAGTTTAAATGTTGCGCTGCATATCATTTCAACCCATGTTCTCATTATCAACAATATCAAAAAATCTTACATATATTTAGTTTGTTCCACACTTGAATAATAAAGAAAAACGTCTGTTTTAAAATTGATGCAGGACCCGCATGATAAAAGCGAGAAAATTTCAAAATTTTACATTCAATCTCTCTGTTAATCCCCCCTCACACGAAACCCTGGAACCATCTATATATATATATATATATATAATTTTCAAGAGTGAATATCGATAAAGTAAATTGTGAGTGTGGTATTTATATCTTTAGCTGTAATATCATATTTTTTTAACTTTTAGTTTTACTTTTAGTACTTTATAACTTATTGCTTCTGTATCAGAAATGCCGATTTTGAAAACTTCCTTCCAGATTGAACTTATCCTCCGAGAACCAGCGGGGCTAGATGACGTCACCAGGCTTAACTCCCTTTCAGGCAACAAAAAGGACGCTTTACTGTGTTATTCAATTGACAGTCCCTGCAGTTTTCAAAATGCCTCATACAAATGGGCACCAGAGATCAACAAACGATGCCCCGATGTTCCCATTGTTTTAGTTGGAAACAAAAAGGACTTACGAAATGACAAATATACTATTTGTGAACTAGGGACTGTACACGAAGAACCGATTGGTTGGCAAGCGGGACAGAAAATGGCCGAAAAGTTAAATGCGTTTTCTTATATGGAATGTTGAGCAAAAACGCGGGAAGGAATTCGAGAGTTGTTTGAGACGGCAGCAAAAGCGGCGGTGTTGAAAAAGAAGTGTCCAACTGTTGTTCGGAAATGATAATAAGAAATAATAAAAAAGAGTTATGTACCATATATATATATATATATATATATATATATATATATATATATATATATATATATATATATATATATATATACTTATTTCATGGGCACAGCTGAAACCCGGAAAACTAGCTGTATTAAAAATGAAATAAAATACTTTGATGCCTTTCTCAGCGTTTATATGCAAATATTAAATAAGTACTATGTACTATTTGTCGTTAAGCGTTTATTGGTCCAACTTGACAATGATCGCTATCTGAAACAGAAGAGTAAATTACATAAGTCTGCATAAATAATAATCCTATAAATACACGTTTCTATAGTAGACCTATAACCTGTTTAGAGGAAGGGTATGCATAAAAAAAGAGTGTAGCACACTGAATATTTTGGTATTTTTACAAATTAATAATATCTGTTGAAGTCTACCTGGACACCTGAAGTAAGTAACTCTAACACAAGTGAACAATAACTAACCACTGCACTACCTGTGCAGCTCTTTATTATAGTACCAAATATGCAAATGACCCAATGCTACAAGTCCAATAAATATGATTGGCTAGTTTACCACTGCATAACCACTGCAATGCAACACTTTACCATAATTGTTTGAGATGTTATCACATAGCCATTATGTAAGTTCTACAAGAGGAAACCATTGCCTTCTTGCATGTTCAATGCCCAAATTCTATTGCGACAGTGATTTATATTGATGTAGGCGTGTGCATCGGTCCGTCCAAAGTCGCTATTTATTTCTCCATACTTGATTCACTAATTATTATCTTTAATTGTATACATTCCTGATATTACTTAACTTTATTTTTATAATCCGATTTAACAAGGAGTTATTTTATTCTTTGTGAGCATACCTTTTAACCACGGGATTCTTGTTCCATTTTATTTTGTTACATAAGCCAATCATGTTATCAAAATGCATTGTGGTGTACTTGGTAAAAAAATGACAAAGTTCAATGATTTTTTTAAAATATGAACGAAAAATGCTTTTTAAAGGCCTGTATTACTATCTCTTAGTTTTGGCAGAGATATCAAATATCAGTTTGGAAATGGTTATAGGTATTAGGGAATTCTTGCTCGCTTTTCTCTTTGAATAATGCAAAAATTATAAACAAGGAAATTCTTATTTTTCATGTTGATATTTTATTCCTGGTGGCATATTGAGTTTTTTTAATAGCCTATCACAGTATATGAAGAGATACATGTATTATCTTCATTTCAACTTTCTGTTCTGTCATTTGGCTTTGTCAATAAGCTAACAACATTTTGGAAGAAAATTGTAGTCTTTAGCAACTCAGCTAGGCTCGGGCAGATCATCCCTCCAGTTCAGATTTTGGTATTGCTCATATCTTTAACAAGAGATAGAGACCTTGAAGGTCCCTCCGATACCAAACCCGTACACACCTATTGCATACGTCCCATTGGATAAGTCTCCTTGAGGGATCTGGAGCAGAGAGGTAAAGCCAGAACAGCCATCAAAGTCGTCATTGGAGTACGCACTGTTACCTTGGCGGATATTGCATGTCTGACTTCCACCGGATTCAATATTAGACATAGCATCACAGGAAAAAAGAGCCAGCTTCGTGTCGTAGTCGGCGGCATTGCATGTGGATATAATGATGTTGTTACTTCCTGAGTAACAGATGCTGTATCGCAACGGTGCCAGATTATTTGCGACATATTGATAGCTGTCGTTGAAGGTATAGGTTGTACCATCACACATGACTTGTTGAACGTCCGCTGTAAGTGTTAATATAATTTAAGTGTAAATATAATTTCGACTTTCACATTGGCCACACTATTTTACAATAATAATGATTATATATACCCGGTTAATATATATATATATATATGAATTTCCGAAATTGGATCCCGTAAAAGTTTTTAAAAGTAAAATAAAAATAAAAAGATTATTAGTAATAATGATAATTAAAAATAAAAATAATTAAGTTTTATACAAGTACAACATTGGTCAAAAAGGTTGTCCCACCCCCACTTCCATATACTTTTATTTACAAATGATCAGCTCACAGGTGTAAATTGTTATAACTAGTGCTTTTTATTCTAGATACCATGTCTAACATGAATAATGGTTAAAAAAATACAAAATAGTGGTCTGTTTAGGAAGAATGGGAAAATATCCCACAAAACAGAATTATTACCCTTGTTGAAGGCTTGTCGCGCCATCTACAGGAGATAATTACAGTACGCGGTAGACGCACACGCTATTAGGCAGGTGACCTCTAACGAGCACATCCTAATGCTAATTATGTGTAAATTTGGTGACATTTGGTGGCGTCTTTTCAATTAAATAGGCACTTCTTTACATCTGTAGAAATCACAGTGGAACATTGGATCTGAGGGGGTACTTGTTATAAATTTGACTTAATGGTATAAAATGTGCATTTTACAACTCAATGAACTGTCTGTTATTTTAAAACAGTATGACATAGATTATGCCTGCATAACAGGGAGCTGGTGCAACTCATCCATCTCTGACAGCATATAATACAGTGAGAAAAGACAGAGAGCAGAAGAGGGGCGGTGGATTGGTTTGTTACATCTAAGAATCAATACCTTTCAAGATATGGAATGAGCTAGTCTGCAACCTGGAATCACTATGGATAACTTTGAGACCAAACAGACTACCTCGTCGTGAATTCTCACACATCAGCCTTGGCGCAATTTACCACCCTCTAGGTGCAGATAACAAGAGTATGACCCAACATATCATATCTTCCACTGACTTTATCCTCAGGGTCCACCCGTATTCAGCAGTCTTCCTTATTGGTGACTTTAACACACTCCCTGACAACCAATTTAAGAGAGCCTTCAACTTGAGACAGATTGTCAGGAAGGGTACAAGAAGAGAATCAATACTGGACAAAATCTTCACTAACATTGACCAATATTACAAGGTGCCCGAAATACTACCGCCAATAGGACATCCGACCACAATGCAGTACTCTCCCTTCCTGCAAATCATAACCGCAATCCATGTGGTAAAGAGGAAAAGATCCGCTGTCGCTCCATGGGAAAAAATGAAAAAAATTCTTTTCGCTCATGAGCTCATGAAAGTGAATTGGACACCACTGTATAAAATGGACACTTGTGCAAACCAGTACCAGTTCTTCGAAGAGACAATTAACAATCTCCTTGACACCTATCTTCCAATGAGAGTCATCAGCAGACACACAACGGACAAACCCTGGGTAACATCTGATTTCAAGGACCTCATCAAACGGCGTCAGAGAGCCCTCAGCGAAGGAAATACTAGCCTTTCACATGCACTCAGGAACAAAATCAAAAGGACAAATAAACAACTTAAGTCAAAATACTATAAAAATAAAATAGAATCATTGAAACAGTCCAACTCTTCCCTATGGTGGAAAAAATCAAAAGAATTATCTGGGATGCAAAACAATGTCACTTTACTCCAACTGCTGGCAGATAGCACATCTTCAGGCAATCTTCCAGTTCTGGCAAACAAAATCAATACCTTTTTTCATAGTGTCAGCCAAGACCTGTCACCTTTACAACCTGATGGAAATGCCCAGCAGAGTTGTATAGTACCTGACAAATTTGTTATCTGCACAGCGGATGTAGAAAAATTACTATCCAAAGTAAAGCTGTCTTAAGCTAAAGGCCCAGACCAAATTCCAAATTGGGTTCTCAGAGACTTTGCAGACTACTTGTCAAAACCACTTTGTGCAATTTTCAATAGCTCAGTAAGGGATGGTTGCGTACCAAAAATTTGGAAATCTGCAGAGATAATACCCATTCCAAAAGTGAATCAGCCAAAGGTAATAGAGTCAGATCTTAGACCTATATCACAAACACCAGTTCTAAGTAAAATTTTGGAGTCTTTGATAACAAAGTGGGTTACAGATGGTCTGCAAATTGATAGAGCACAGTTTGGTGGCATTCAGAATAGTTCAACTACTCACGCCTTAGTTGAATTGACTCATAAATTACTAGGAGGACTTGAACCATCCCCCACAACAAAGTCTTATGCTCAGGTGTTATTTTTAGATTTTGCTAAAGACTTCGACAGGATTGATCACCATATCTTAATGAAAAAATTAGAAATTCAAGGGATACCAGACTTTGTAAGACGTTGGATTTATTCCTTCCTTTGCGAACGGTTGCAACGAGTAAAATGCAGTAGCTTTAAATCTGATTGGGTTCAGCTAGTGGGGGGGCTCAGGGCACTAAATTAGGCCCCATTCTTTTCCTTGCAATGATAAATGACCTGAAAACTTGTTGTTCCGCCATTTATGAAATTTGCAAATTTGGCAAAACACCGCATCTACCACAAGCAATAGACCAATTGGCTGACTGGGTCAAGCAAAACAAGATGAAACTTAATGTAAAGAAGACTAAGTCAATGGACATAAATTTTACCAAGAACTGTAATCTTACAATGCCAACATTGGAAATAGATGGTGAACGTGTAGAAAAGGTCAAAAAGTTTAAGATACTTGGTGTTATTTTAACCCCAGACCTCAAGTGGGCTGAACACATCCGAATCATGTATGCTAAGGCATGTTTAAAGCTCTTTTATCTCAGACAGCTAAAGAGGGCAAAACTGGACATACAAGATTTATTAACTATTTACCAGTCTGTAATAAGATCAGTTTTAGAATATGCATGTCCAGTATGGGGACCAGGTCTGACTGCTGAGCAATCTGAATGTCTAGAGTCAGTTCAAGAGAGAGCTTTAAGGATTATTTGCCCTGGTCTCAGTTATGATGATGCCTTAAAAGTTTGTAACATTGACACCCTAGACAAACGTAGACATTTGCTGTATCAGAGGTTTTATACAAAATTAAAAAATTGTGAAAAGTTAGGACATTTATTGACTGAAAGAAACACCCGCCCTTTACGAAACACCAAATTCTTACAACCAAAAGTGAACGTTTTAAAAATTCCTTTATTAATTATTGCCTTTTTAACTTGTAGTAATTTATGGATGCCGTTTTAATTTGTAGTATTTTAAGAATAATTTATTGTTTTATAATTTAAAGTTTATTGTCAATTTTCTTTTAAACATTCTTTGTACAACTTCAACCTTAGGGTTGCAATTTTATCAAATAAATTATTATTATTATTATTATTATTATTAAACATACAGAAAAGATTCATATAAATGAAGTACAGCTTCAGTTGGAAAACCACATATATATAATTTCATCTTGAGTTGGAAAACCAGCTCAATTCCATTATTTTTCAAGAAGAAAGGCATTTTTTTTTTTTTTTTTTGCAAAAATGTTGGACTTTGAACTCCCACTGGCATGAAGCCTCATGGTAGTTACATATTCTTAGTGTCCACGTTAGATAAATAAAAAATTGGTGTTGACTTTGTTGTTAAGCATAATGTATTATTGCATCAAAACTGTCAAAAAAAAAAATTCTTTGCATCATTGTGTGTTCATCTAACAGCTTTGCTGCCTTGTTGATTCTCTTTCTACACACTGTTATGTAGGTTAAAAAAGATGCCATACTTACGACACCGTCTTGTTAGTTCAGCTGAAAAAATTGATAAGAAGAAATATATTAGAAAAGCACATTAATGATATATATATACAAATAATCTATATATTGTACAACTTCTGCCACCACTTTTGCCGATAAATTTGAGAAATGAATCCTTAATGTCAAAACATACACCAGTTTCCCAACATATCAACAATTTTTTGTTCACTGCGTTTTTTAATGATCCTATAACGTGGATTGCAAGGTAATATCCATTACCACAATTATTTTCAATTTTAAAAACCACATCTTACATGCAGTTAGCTTGTAGTGCCTTTTTACACACTGGTATGTAGGTTATAGAAGATGCACTGTGCCTGAGATAATTTATAAAACTCCCTGGCTATCTATCATCTAAGACCTTAACTAATTTAAAAATCAGTAAAACGAGGCAGCAAGCAGCCTTAAGTAAAACACAAAAAATAAACACATATGAAAGTTGGTCTACACTGAAGAAAAATTAGTATTAAATATTTTTGTGTTAAATGTAATATCATACTTACGACATTGTGTGATAGATTCAGCTGAAAACGTGAAAAGATGTATTTTGCAAAAGTACACGAAAATATTCATACAATCATGTGCATATTCTGCCAACGTGAACAAAGATGTTAATATATATTATATATTGGTTTAGATATGAATTAATTGATATTATTCTCTCAATAGTAAAATATAGAACTCTATAGACTATCTCTATACAGCAACTAAAATTTCCCGTTTCTGCTTTTTTGTCTAGCCCATAAAACCAACTATTCTTACCAATTATTTTCTATTTCTGGCTATAGAAAGATAGCAGTAGGGAGGGCACGTTTGCAAATCAAATGTAATGTTTGATGTAATACTTACGACATGTCGGCATTTCTAGGGGAAAAAAGAAAGGCAATATTAAACACAATGGGGCATCACTTGAATAATATAATCATTCAAACAATTATCATTTAAACATTGATTTTTCAGATACTTTAAAGTTTAGGTGATTCGATCAATGAAGCCATATGATAAAAGACAAAATAGTGGAATTTGTTTAATGCTGAATTATCAAAAGAAAAAGAGGTGTTCGCGGAATTCAACTTTAACGGTTACATATGATTGGGTTTATTTCCTTATCCGCTATTAGCTACCGTGGAAATGAACATTGTCATTTTATGAGATAACGTAGTCACATCCAATATACATTGAGGTAAATATGCTAGTTCCAGTTGGTGACGTAAAAGTAGTTATTTGGGAGAGAAAACTTTTATGTCCATTTCAAACAATATGTACTACAAACTGGTGTCAGGAAATTGGCGTAGGTTTAATCTCTACATAAAAAACAGCAACTCCCTTGATAATGTTGAAATCAGAACAACACAACAAAGAGTTCATAGCGTTTCCTTCAAATGGTTACACATAATTTGAAAAGAAATGTATAAAAGACTAAGTTTCCTTCGAACTTAAAAACCAATAACTTGACTTCCACTTCCCCCTTTTCCTAATGCCAGTGAATACTGCATCCTAACAGTTTAAATACGGTACTATCGAAATCAAACACCCTATTCCTGGATACAATATTGTTATAAGTTCAAGAGTTTACAAATAAGATCACCTGCACAAAATATATACAAATTTAAATAAGAATTGAAAGATTTTAAAATATCAAAACTGAGCCCCCTGCTAGGGTATTAAAATGACAACCGTTAAATCATAAAAAATTCCTTACTCTAAGTTGAATTGGTAAAAACAAACATAACATCAAATGGGTTTTTAAGCACAGTTTTTATGTCGAGTTTTTATTTATTCAAGGACCAATATTTGAGAAGAAAAGTATAAAGTACAAACTTTTCATCGAACATCAGAACCAATATGTCGACTTCAAATCCCCCCTTTCCTAATGGTGGTAATGGTACTGCACCCATGCAATAAAGTCTAACTGCCAGTTCTCACCTGGAACGCAATTTTGTGGATCTGGAACAGAAGAGTTGAACATGTATCCCTCTTCACACACACAGACCAGAGGTTCTGGACAAGGTAAACTTTGACCTTCTTCGTTGGTAGTATTCTGGCAGTTTGACACAGTACTGTTATCCACTATCTCACAGCATCTGGTATTATTACCACACACAACTGGGGGCCTCACTTCAATTTATGAAACAAAAGACAAAACTTGTCAATACAGGGAAATGAATTTATATAGATTTCATTTTGAAACATTATGTCATGATCATTGCATTTCTGTGTGTGTCCTTCTAAGACGAGGTACAGTGTGCCATATAAAACATTGCCAAATTCCACCCACTTTGACAAGGACGATGGTCATCCGACATTTTCCAACCAGTGTAAATTACAAAGCTACATGTCACCCTTACGTAAACCATGATTAAAATTTTTATTTCGATATTATGTTATAAGATCTAAAGATTAATAATGAAATCATCTGCACAATATATACATGTTTACAAGTTTAAATAGGGTAGTATTGAACCAACAATCACAAATCAACTGAGAGTGCCTTACTCTTCCTTGAAAAGGTTAAACACACACACACACACACACACACTTGTCTATGTGTACCAACCGAGGACATCAGCACAACACCATACAACCGAGGACATCTTATTCCTTGGTTAAATCAAAATAAAAACATTCAATTTAGGGTAAAATCTATTCGAGTATGAATGTTATAAATTAATTTTTTATAAAAACTAATTTTTTGCTGACAAGAATTTTACATTCTAACCGAGGACACACACGGACACACACACGGACAGACACTACACATTACAACCGAGGACATGCATGCATCTACATGTAATAATGATTGTACTTTTAATGCAAAGCAAATTTTATATAGCGTTACTTTGCAGCAATTCACATTTTTATGAAATTCTTTCATATTTAAGGTAAATTCCAAAATAACACCAGAGGTGATGATTAAATGAACAGTTATACAATATTTAATGCTGGGCTTTGCCACTTTTTTAGAATTGAAGATTATGAGATAAAACATCAATTAATTTAGGAAAAGAAAGGAT